AAGTGTTCAATTTCCTGATATCCTGAAGTGACTCGCTTATTAAGCCACTGCAAAATACCCGAAATTGAAACTGGAAGGAGCCTTGACATCTTTGACAGCTGCAAGGCTTGATATTAGTCTGGCCTTGATCGAATTGATCGAATTGAGATGTGCCCCAATATAGACTATGGTCTTCAATGGTTTGAGATGAGACTTCTTGAAATTGACTTGCAAACCAAGTTGTTACAGATTCTGAAGAACAAAGGCAGATATGGAAATATGCATCTTGTAGGTCTACGACCACAAACCAATTGTCTGGAGAAAGCAGTGGGATAATGGATTACAGGGTGACCATGTGAAAGCCCTTCGGATGGATGTAGGTGTTGATGGTGATGGTGAGGACTCAGATGGGTCATAAATGTAGCAAACACGCTTGGGACGCTCATAGTAGTCCTGTTCAAACCGCAGATCAAACTCATCAAAACTGTATCGATAGTGTTCACTGCATCGACCAATTTCATAAACCGGCTCCCCATATTCAGAAAGCGAGTGGCATCTTGATACTGAGAAGGCAGGGAAACATGATGCCACTTGACAGAGTATTAAAAATTTACAGGCCTGAACAGAACAGAACAGAAGCATTAATGAGCTGCCATGATATCCAGGTGTGTAAAGTGCTGAATCACAGTGACTCTGGAGAGGTGGTGCCTGGATAATGCAACATCTGCTCTGATTGGGCAAGGGCAGATGCTTGAATGTATATATTTGAACTTTGCAGAGAAGATATACTTCCCTCTTCTACTGATGATTCTACTGATTGTTTTGGCCATCAGGACCTGAATGAGCACTCTGTTAAATTCTTGTGTGTTCATACAGAGGGGAATGCGAGACCAATACCTCAAGTTCAAGAGATGGATGACAGTTGCCCACCCGGTCGAAGTAGGGCTAGAATGGGCTGAGGCCCAGCTGGATATGACATCAGTCTCAGAGTGGCCATGACTTGGAGACAAGCTTGGAATCGATACCAAAGCTGGAGCTTGAGTAAGCGGTACTGATTCTCCCATTTCTGAAATGGAGTCCTGGTCTGGTACATCGCTAGACGACAGGAGGGAAATCTGAACAACCGGAGGCTCTCGCTTAGCTTTCTTTTGCTTAGCTCTGTCCTTCTCCTTTTGCTGCTTCTTCTTTTAAACATTTTATTGAATTAATACACTACAAAACATACAGGTTACATCACCAAAAACACCAACAAAAAAACCCGTCTTTAGTTAACAGATTTTCATATGTAGTCCTTTTGCTTGTTATCAGATCGGGCCATAGCCAAAGCTGAGGACGACTTCGACACCAAGGTCAATGTCAATGCCGAGGGGGATTTCAGCTTGGAAGTCTTTGTAGAGGCTTTTGGCGATGGAGTAATTGAAGGCGATGGGTGAGAAGGCTCAGACCGAGGCACTGGAGTACAGGTAGGCTCTATCCTGGGGCTGGTTGGATGGCTTGAGGGTTTTAAGGATTTTTCCCACAAATGAAACCAAAGTCATTGCAGTCGGAATTTAAGAGCCGGCTTCGTTAATTTTTTACACTCCAGACAGGAGTGGGTCTAGTGACTTTTGCGCAGGCAGAACAAGCAACGATCATGGCCATCAGTAAAAGGAATTTTATTGGCACACATGGTAAAATGCTTGAATGGGCTTGAAGAGGCCATTAAAAAGTTTTGGAAAGTGGGAAGGGGGATGGGGGATGGGGGAAAGACAAAAGAAAAATAACTCACAGGGAAACGTCCGTAAATGAAAAACTGATCAAGTCCATAATCCAGGAATTGAAGTCCGCAATCCAGGAATTGATCAAGTCCGTAATCCAGGAACATAAGGCAGTCCATAAAATGAAAAAGTACAATTTAGAAAATCAGAAAATCGCTCTAGTAATCGCTACAGAAGTCCAATTTTAATGGTGGCTAAAAGGAACTGAGGTATTACAGGCGGGCGGAGCATGCCCACCATGGGGCAAATTCCTACTAATCATGTCTTTTTAAGCTCTAGAATATCCCGAGAAGTCCTGTGCAGGCGCAGTAAAACCCATTTGTGTGCATTCATAGAGGCCACAAAGAAGAATTAGGCTTTCACTAGAAGTGTTCTAATCAGTTGAATATGTTCTTTCAGCAATTCATTTGGCAATCATTTGCCACATTTGAGATGGAGGGGGAAGATTTATTTTTGTCTCACCAACTTTTCATACCCTTATTAAAATACTTGATTTTCAGTTAGGTTAAAAGTTTAAGTCTCATCAATGAGTTAAATTTAAACCATTTCAGTAGGAGTGTTATACTTCAAGACATACACACTTACTTAAGAGACAGCCTTGTTCAATTACGTGGCACCTACTTCTGAGGAAATATTCACAGAATTACAGTGATCACTCAGCATCTTGTCCATTGAAATTAATGAGGCATTAAATTGATGCCCAGCTGATCACTGCTGAAAACAGAAAGCAGGACTAGGGGGGAAAATGATGTAATCCTACAGTGCTTTTTAAAAAGCTCTTATGAACGAAATCCAAATTGGACAGCAGTGTCAATGGCACTCAAAGATGGTGAACAGGGCAACCCTATATGACTCTCCTCAAAAGAAATTTCCACTTACTCGCAGTTATGTATATGAATGAATACAGCCTACGATGATCAGAAAGACTCCCTGAAGACCTCTTTCTATGACAAATGACCAAGCAAGCGTGGATGGAGTTCATCTTAGCAGCAGGTTGCATTTAATGTGAGCTAAAGAAATGGACAAGGCATGGTATAATAGAGGCCACTAACCTAATTGCAAGCATAAAAGTCCACCGGTACAGTAATCTTGGATCATGCCATTTTGTTCAAGCATTGCTCTTGTACACTGCAAAAACCAACCCTCCATATTTGCAGTGTGACCTCATGAGACTACACTAGGGAATGTCATGTTCCATGGAAGCTCTCCAGGGTACAAAAGGGATGCGATTCTCTCCCAACAGTGATTTTAAAACATCATCAGACTTTCTCCAGCTTCCCTTTTGCTGCATTTCTCTTCAAGCAGAAAACATGGTTCTAGAAAAGCCTCTGCCTGAATGAATTTACAAGTATTTTGAAATACAGCTCAGAGACATTTCTTTGCATCTCACCTCTTCTAAGTACAGTATCTTTTATCATATGAGGTGTAGGTTTTTCCACCTTGCCTTTCACTGCAATACTCTTCGCCACATTTATTCTCAAACCTGCTTTATGAACTTCAGTGGAACTCTCTACCTCCTCCCATGATGGTCAGTGTTAGGATTCCAGTCTAAACATGCCAGCTCTGAAATAAGCCCCAGTGGGTTCACTGGAACTTGCTCATGGATAACAACAGTGTTTGGAAAATTCTTTCAAAAGGAATTAGTTGCAGTTATAGTCCCACAATCCCTCAAAGGGGATTAGCTGCAATTCTAATTACAAGTGGAAAAATAACTGCTTTCATGATTCTCCAAAGTAAATGGGTACCTGTTATTGTAACGGAACCCAAAAAATGACGTCATTCCTGCATGTCAATCAGAGGATAGAGCAGGAGGGGCGGAGTCAGAATGACAGTTGGGGGGTTGGAAGAGACAGTTAAGGACAGTTGGAATGAGATAGGGATAAAGAGTATTAGGGACAAGAAGATGTGGCGAGAGCTAGGGTTTAGGAATAGATAAAAAGGGTTTAAGAAAGGAATATTGAAAGAGTAAAACATAGCCACCTAGAGTGGTCCTCATTGACCAGATAGGCAGGGTATAAATTAAATAAATAAAAATAATAAATAATAAATAAAATATTGAACAAGCAGGAATGAACACATAAGCATAACATGAGAAATACCAGTGATTCAATACATGATCTTGGAGAAATACCAGTGATTGAATACATGATCTTATTATATTCCCTGCCGGAGAACTGAAACCAACTGAAACCTAAAATTGGGTGCTAACAATCTAATATATGCACACCTGAAAGAGTTATATATTTGATTCTCCTTATGATTTTGTTCATTAATAAACAAATATTTGATCAAACCCCTGATTCCTAAGTTATATGAGCAGCTCCTGTGTGGGGGAATTGTAGTGGTATTAGGAGAAATACCTGGCGGCAGCAAAAAGAAGAAAAAAAGGCGTGTTTACCTTTGTGGAGCCCAAAGAAATAAAGGGGCAACCAGGGGGATCGCCACAGTTATCTTTTTAAATTATCTGAATTCAATATACTCCCAGAAGCTTTATGATAAAAAAAACATACTCCCATCTACTTAACCATGACAACACCCAGAACACCCACAAAAGTATATAAAATAGCAGTAAAAGGCACATACACACCATCTTTTGACCCATGTGATATTCTTCCTCCACTATTTAGTAAGACAGAACAAATTAGTAGGTTTTCTCTGCATTAGGTTCCATTTTGGGCACGTATTTATTGGCTGAAATCCAGTATTAACTCACAACTAGAGTAGGCCCATTTTATCAGTGGGGATTTGGTGAGTTAACTCCTCTATAAGTTCCATTGATTCAATGGACCCTACTCTTTTTGCATCTTAGTACTGGATTTCAGTCATTATGCTTCTACTATTAGCGAAGACAAAGATAGTGGGTTTTCTTATATTACTGTAGTGTTCTCTCTAGGCTTGGCCCAGGAGTTGGCCCTAATGGATATTCTGTCTTGCTCAGTGCTTCACAGTTTTAGTTGTGATTAGAATCCCACAAACTTCAGACAGGGAACCAAACATCTGCCTTCATATACTGTACATACATTTCTATAGCGGGCATATGTTTCTTGACACTGGATGTTGAAATTGTTCCCGTTAGTATTCCATAGCACATAGTAGTTACACAGAACATCAAAATGCCAGACTCTCTTGCATCAGGTATCTAACAGCCACTTCTGACAGGTGTTTCAAAAAACTGGGTAATATACTTGTAGTTGCAAGGGAAGGTTTAAATGAAGGAGCCGTTTCTCAATCCATGTGTATCTAAAATACTTTTTTTAATCTTGCATAAATTCACAAATGATACAATATTGTAAGTGTCTCTTAAACATACTGTACAATCATGTCAGTTTAAATGTTTTACATCAAGGCACAGCACACCAAATTTTACACATATACCTTGAGAGGCAGCAATTTAGTGTAATCCCCGAGATTTGGCAGTACTGCCAAGATAAATAGCATGGGTCATATTTCACAGATATGCTAGAAGATAAATAAATAAATAAGTAAATAAATAATTAAATAAATAGATGCTGTCACATTTTATTTGAAATAGAACTGCATATAAAAAGAATATACGATAATTTAATTTGATTATCTTGATATATATATATTATATAACAGAAGTGCTTTAATTTAATTTAGAAATAAAACATTTCATAAATATTAGAAGGATGCAAAAATGAGTCTTTTATTCGGCCATCTTGATTTTATGGAAGAAAGTTGCTTTCCAGTGAAATTAAAAGGCGTTCGCTGCTCATTTTCATGGCAATCTGGAAGAAACAAAATAAGAAGTTATTTGTTTTATTTTATTTTTTACACAGTTTTACCGTGCCATCTGGCCTGGGTATCTATCTATCAATGACAACTATTTCTTTGTTGTTGTTGTTTAGTTGTTAAGTCGTGTCCGACTCTTTGTGTCCCCATGGACCAGAGCACACCAGGCCCCCCTGTCTTCCACTGCCTCCCGGAGTTGGGTCAAATTCATGTTGGTCACTTCAGTTACACTGTCCAACCATCTCCTCCTCAGTCGTCCCCTTTCCTCTTGCCCTCTCACTTTCCCACACTTTTTCTTTGTAATTAGCTGTGAATAGACTGAAATCCTGAGAATCAGGGACAGTCCTGGTTAGGCACGACTTCCCCAAGCAGCCAAGTCACAGCTGTGCTTCTGAGACCCCAAACCACTTCACCCTCTTTGGGGAGACCCACCTCTGTGTACCACTGAGCCCACCATGCAACCCTCCCCAAAACAGCATTCTATTCTGAGGAGAGGTGGAGGATGTTGTCCCTTCAATAACATTGAAGAATAATTCAACTGCCAGACTGGTCAGATGTATATTTTTTTACACAACATGGAGGGATTGTGCAGCCTTGCCCTTTGCCTCTAGCAGTAAAATATTTAGTGACAGGCCTGCATAACACAAGTTCACTCACTTAATCATGTGACACAAACATGATTCTAATTAGAAGATTGAGGATTGAGATCACTACTTATAGTAATGATGGCACAGATTACATGTGGCCTTAGTATAACTATTTGAACAAGTATAGCCAAAATAAGCTAACAAATAAACAAACAACAAAAGTCAAGCCAGAGATCATGGACCTGTGACTTTATGAGGTACAGGAATTTTGTTTTAGCAAGTCTTTTCTCAAATGACATCAATGTAATTGGACTTTTATGATAAACAATTTCATTTTCCAGCATTTCCATGAGTGTTCCCCCTCCCCCCACATCTTGCTATGCAAATGTCCAGAATGGCAAGAAATTACATATCTCTGACAACCTGGAGACACCTGTGAAAGCGAGATGACTCACTTGTGTCTTATCTGAACTATATCAGGGTTAGAGGACCAGCTGGACAAAATTGAAGCAAATGGTTTCTGGCAGAGACATAGAATAGCACCTAGAACATGTTAGGTGTGGGGAGAGTTCCCTTCCATCCTCACCTTATCATAATAATAAGACCTCTGCTTTGGGTAAGAAGAGTATTCAAAAAGAAACAAGTGCCTAAAATACTGCCTTTCTTTCTCTTGGGTGACATCAGCTTAAAAAAGAGGAGGGCATCCCAGTAGAAACAAAGGTTCCCTTCCATGCAGTAGTGCCATCATCAGTACTCTTTTCCCCCATAGGGCAATGGGCCAGCCAGGCAGAAACATATGGCACAACGGTGATGGATAAGAAAGTAATGGCAGAAGAAGGTGGGGAATAGGAAGGAGCCTATAGATTTGCCCCTCACCCCTGATCTCGGTGAGGAAAAGAGAAAGTCAGAATTAAGAGAAAGGAGTATGGAATATCCTGCCATAAAACAACAACTAATCATAATACTAATGTGACTCCAAACCAACTCATGACATTTCCTAATCATGAAATAATAGTAGAGGAAAAAATGTGAACAGATAAAAACAACACACATGCTATTAATAAAACTGTAAATCCATAATAGGTTAAGGTTTACACATAAGTCCACATAGTCAAAGCTATGGTATTTCCAGTAGCAATGTATGGAAGTGAGAGCTGGACCATAAAGAAGACTGACCACCAAAGAATTGATGCTTTTGAATTGTGGTGCTGGAGGAGACTCCTGAGAGTCCCCTGGACTGCAAAGAGAACAAACTTATCCATTCCGAAGGAAATCAACCCTGAGGGCTCACTGGAAGGACATATCCTGAAGCTGAGGCTCCAATACTTTGGTCATTTCATGAGAAGACTCCCTGTAAAAGACCCTGATGTTGGGAAAGAGTGAAGGCAAGAGGAGAAGGGGACGACAGAGGAGGAGATGGCTGGACAGTGTCATCGAAGCGCCCAACATGAATTTGACCGAACTCCAGGAGGCAGTGGAAGACAGGAGGGAGTGGCATGCTCTGGTCCATGGAGTCACGAGGAGTCCGACACGACTTAACAACTAAACAACAACAAAACTGAGGCCTTCATTCTAGCATATCTGGGGCAGATTTGGTGTAGTCAGTTAAGGAATTTCAGTTCTTGTGTGGGGGTCATTTTGGCTCCTAAATACTCTTGGTAGAGAGGGAGCACAACTGATTACATGGGATTTACTTCTAAATAATAAGTAGTACAGAGGATTGTACTGCAACTCTATATATTCATACACACATCAGATGTGACCCATTTTACAAGAATTTAGCTGCCCTATGCCTGTGACAGTACATTTTAATATGACCATCCCCATACTTTCTTCCTGAGCAGACATAAAACAATATCCCTTGGAATACATATGAACTACAAGTAATTTATTGAACGGAGAGGATGCTTCCTTTAAACTAGAAGTAGCACTCTTCCCAGGGGTAAAGAGCTGATGTATACTCCCAGGGGGACCTCACCAGGGGTCTCATTTCTGCTTACAATGGGAGCAAATAGGCTGCAAGACCCACAAAAACAGCTGGGGGCTGCTTTGAAAGACTAAGCAAAATCCTGATTCTATTGATTAGAATTATCATTCTTCACAATTAGTGAGGTTCAGAACCTAGATATCATCCAGGAGGGAACAAATCAATCACACCAATATTCCCCAATATGTCCTGTTATGCATTTACCATATTCCAGGGGTCATTCAGCAGATAACGTCTGAACAGATCTTCTTCACCGACCAAATCCTTTGGATCCCACATTAGTAGGTACAAAGTTGTTCTTGCCCACTCCTCCTGACCGGCTCAGGAAGTCTGCCAAACGGTGGGTCACACAGGTTGCTGTATTACACCCTCTCTTCTGTGCTGTTATGCTGTTTTTCCAAAAAAAGCAAGAAGAGTTACGATCTCAGTTCTGATTTGAGCAACATTTCATTTATAGGAGAAAAACAATGGAATGTTTCAGATAGCAATGTAATGGTACTTTAGATCTATATTTCAGGAATCTTGGGTTTAATAATGGACTGCCACTGCTTTTATGATAAAACCCCTTGAAATTGCTCCCTGTTTTGTCTCATATTCCTTACAACTGCTAGAGATTCTCTTAAACCTGATTTTTTTTGTTCTCATTCTGAAAAAAATTGCTTTGGAATTTTAAAAAATTGCCCCAAAATACTTTTAGGAGTCCTACAAACAGGTAAGTACATTTAAATTGCATTACAGTCTGATTTAAAAGTGAGCCACACTACTTTAGTAGTCTTTAATAAGAACCACGTATGGTTTAGCACTGAACCCTAAATGTAACACCTGTGGTGGAGGCAAAAGATGAGTCGTTCTGTATTAGTCCTGATGCTCACGCACAAACCATTGGGTTTGGAGGCAATGGGCCACTGAATACCAACTACCAGGGTATTAAGTGGGAGCCAGCCAGTGCCCTTGCATCCTGCATGTATGCTTCCTATCATGGTGAAACATTGCTGGGTTATATAAAAAGCTTGCAAAATTTACATTTTAGACTGTAGAAGCAGTATTCTGCCCCCCCTTCATACCATTATGACCAACGAATTCTGTGACTAGTCATGCCAAAACTAACTTTCAGACGCTTTAGTTTTACATGGTTTGATCCAGGAAGATTTTGCTTCCATTCTTACTTGACAAAAAACAAGCATCATTAATTCCCAATGATTTCAACAGAACAAAACTCTTAAGTGCTAGGACTGCACCCAGTATGAGTTATTACTTGACAAAAAACAAGCATCATTAATTCCCAATGATTTCAACAGAACAAAACTCATAAGTGCTAGGACTACACCCAGTATGAGAAAGAGTTCAGTATGTCTTTAAATGGTAAAACAGACACACCTTTTAAATTTGGCTCATCTGAAAAAGATTGCCACCCCAAAAGTTCTGAAGAAAAATTCCATGTGTTCACTTTGTCACTACTATAAAAAGTCCTTCACTTCACATAGCTTTGTGCAGAATTACAGAACAAAAAATTAAAATACAGTAAAATGCTTACCTGGATGAACTGAATCAGAATATTACTTTTGTAACCGGATAACATTGCTAATAACTGCAATCTACCTATGTGACTTTTAGAAAGGTGGTAATGGCTAACTGTACAGAAGTGACCCATTAAAATCATTAAGGTCAGTGCAAACTTTTCCATGGACTTTGCTCAAATAAAACTGTCTCCCTTTTCATCCTGCACCCAGGAGTTTACACATTTTTATAAGGGGAAACAGCCAACACCATGCTGTTTTGAATTAAAATTGTGCTGCAGGTTTCTTCTGATGAAAACAATTTAAACACAAACAGAAAACCCATTACTAAAAACAGTAATGAATTAGAAAAATAGGCCTAATCCTTATAGAAAAATAGGTTTATTGAACAGTTGCATGGCCAGGCAGGAAAGAAACATTTATTTATTTTGTTTACAATGGAGGAGCAAGAAATCAGAAGATAATTATTTGGAAAATAAACATTGAAGAAAATCAGCTGAAATTTCAAAGCAATGCTACTTATTCTGCTTTATTTTCATTTGGTGTGT